TGGGCATTCATACAAATCCAGTGCCCGGAGGGCCTCCACAACCTTCCGGTGGGGGAGCTTGAAGCAGTGAGTTGGATCGGGTAGATGCGGACCGAGGAGTAGGCGGGGTAGGCTGGCATTGGCATTGGATGGGAGCGGCCTTGTCGGTTGCATGTAGTGGCGGCCCTTGTGAGGGAAGGGGAGAGGTTTCTGTGGCCCCTCATGTCTCTGTCCCCCTGTTTCGTCTACCCCTTTTTGGAGTCCCCTGTTGTTCCCCTTGTGTGCCGGTTCCTCCTCCAGGACTAAGAAACAGCTGAGGGATGGGCCTGCTTAAGGGGGCCCGGGATGGTTGAGGCTAGGTTCTAGTCCCTCAGTGTCTGCTCCCCCTTGCTCTTGCCGCTGCGGCGGAGTAGGAGGGGGCCTGTAGGAGGGTCGTCCCAGTGAGAGTCCCAAGGTTCTGCTCCGGTAGGGGCTCGGGTGGAGGAGGGGGTGGTCCCTGGTGGGTAGGCGGCTAGTGTAAGCGCCAGTTTTGTCACTCAGCAGGGTCTGGTGTCCTCTTTAGAGGCGGGGGGCAGGGTGGCCCTGGGGAATAGGTTTGGGGCTTTGTCGGGGGAGGAGGAGGGGTCAAGTGATCCCAGCTTCCCCGATGGAGGACGAGGATGCTGGGGGGTCTCTTAAGAGAGTGAGGGACCCTGCCAAGAAAGTCAAGAGGGAGGATTAAGAAACGTCCTTCTCAATTATCTTAATGGCAGTTCCGTGCTCCGATAAGGGTGCTGCAACCCACATTTAATGTTGCCAGCATAAAGTCTGTAAGTGCTAGAGAAAACAGCCTTATTTTTGATCAGTAGGATGGAAGCTGATATTTTCTTTTTGCAGGAGACAGGTTGCCCACCTGGCTGATGTCCATCTGGCCAAGCAGTGAGTGGAGGCGTGGGCCCTTGCCTACTGGTCTCTTGCGGATCTGAGCTTTTTACAGCGGAGTAGTTGCGGTGCTTTTTACCGGCAACTCTGGCTGTAACGTGTCGGCGGATATTTAGAGGTAGAGATCGGAAGATGTCTTGATTCTGGGATGTTCTCGTAAGGGGGCCCCCCATCCGTCCCCCGCATGAGCTCCGTCTCATTTAATATCTATGGCCCCACAGTCAAAGTGGGACAGGAAGAACCTCTTTGCGAGGATTAAACCTTACCTCTTTACACTCCGGCTGGTAGTATTTGGAGGTGATTTTAACACCATTAATAGGCCCAAGGACAGGACAGGTGAGGCTTCACTGACGGGCTGGATATGATAGCAATTTTCTAAATGCTATAGTCAGGGAGGGGGCAGGCAGGTCTGGTTGACGCTTGGATTCAAAGTGTCCCAGACGGCACGGGTTTCTCCTTTAAGAGGAGAGGTAAATAGCCAGAGTAGGGATTTAGAACAGGTTTTTTTTTGAAGGGAGCGAACTCTGCCTTCTCGGCACCTGAGTGTCAGGCGGTGGGAGTTTTCCGATCACCTTATGCTATCTGTCACTTGATATTTCAGACACGCCGCTGAGAGGGAAGAGGCAAATCTATGGAGGATGAATTCGTCTCTGCTGGAGGACGAGGATGGTAGAGATGATCTTTCGAGGAGTTCTTTAGGCGCAGGGAGACGGTGCTGGATTTCTGCACGGCAGTAAGTAAGTCTGAGTGGTGGGAGCTCACCCCAAAGTGCGGGTATCAGCAGGGTTTTTCAAGGCTATTGGTAAGAGACGGCAGTTTAAACAGTGTATAACGCCTTAACCAGCGGATTGCGGAGGAAGCTCGGACCGCCTTGTTTCTAGCGGTGGAGATTCGGGGGCAATCTCGGAGGTGAAGCTTCTCCTTAGGGAACACTCCGCAGTACATGATCGGGTGCCTCTTTGGTTCTGTGAGAGGGATTATGGGAAATACCACTCGCCTGACCCTTTCAGAATTGCAACAGAGTGCAGCAATGTTAAGATGACACTCTCTCTGCTCTGAGGGTTAGTACAGGGTCCCTGGCTAAATCCAGGTCAGGGATTTCTGGAGGTCTCCAGGTCCTTTTTATGCGGATTTACTGAGTGAGAAACACCTTGACCGGACAGGGATGTCGTGCTTTTTGGATGAATCCACGCCTGGTTGGACCAGTGATGTCCTCTGGTGCGAGATGTTTGACTGGGGGAGATTACTGCAGATGAGGTGTCCAGAGCGATTAATAGTCTGGCCATTAAAAAGACTCCTGGGGCCAGACGCGTCTGGACCTGCCCGAATTTTTTAAGGCTTTTAAATCCCGCCTGGGCACACCTCGTCTCGCAGGGTAAGTGTATAAACAGCTGTTCTGGTTTATGAGGGATTACTCTCCCTCACTTCCAATGAGACAGTCTGCAGCAGCATTGCTCGGTCCAGGGCAGGAGTACCTTCACAGCGGTGTTAGCTGTCCGGGAGGCTCTGGAGCGATGTAAGGCTGAAGGATGGGGAAAGTACTTGCTGGCGGTGGATCAGGCAAAGGCCTTTGATCGAGTTGATCACAAGTACCTCTGGCATCTCCTGGACCGGTATGGTTTGGAGGGGAGGTTCATCGGCTGGTTGAAGACATTGTACCAAGGGGCGGAGAGCTTCATGTTGGTGAATGGTTGGGTTGGGCAGCCCTTTGAGGTTGGATCTGGGGTGCGCCAGGGGTGTGCCCGCTGAGTCCCTTGCTCTATGCCTTTGCCATTGACCCCTTCGTCAGGAGGCTAGATGGCGGGGCGGTGAGTGGGGTGCTGGTGGGTGCCACTGGAGATCCGCCTTTTGAGAGTTGTGGCTTATGCTGATGACGTTTCTGTTTTCATTTCTGGACCAGGAGGAGGCGCAGGAGGTGGTTTCAGTAATGGATCAGTATGCCGAGGCATCAGGTTCCAAGGTCAATCAGGACAAATGTGAAGTTTCTCTGGATGGGTAGGGAGGGTGAGAGCTTCTCACTCCCGGACGCCTTCCCGGTGCCTCAGCCGAACATCAAGTGTTGGGCATCAATTTTGGCTCTGCTGATTACAGCAAGCAAAATTGGGAATCCAAGCTGTCGGATGCCGAGGTCAAAGTGAGATGTTGGAAGGGGTGGCGGCTCTCCTTGAGGGAAAGGGTTGATTTGATCAAGACTTTCCTGCTCCCAGTCTTTTTGTACGTCAGCTTCGTTTGCCTCTTGCCAGAATCGCTCTATACGAGGATCTATAGCTGTTTCTTCCAGATGTTATGGGGGAATCGGCTGAACCTCATCAAGAGGGACGTGACTTACTCATCCAGGCGGGAGGGTGGCCTAGGTATAGTCAACCGGTGTTCTTTTTCTCTCTGATGTTCTTGAAACATAACTTTGGTAATATGCTGGCAGAGAGACCGCCTGCATGGGTAGGACTGTTCCGGATCTGGTTTGGACCCTTTCTGCACAGTTGGGAGAGTGGCGGGCCAGTGAGAAGCCTGCGCGGGTCAAGCATGGTAAGCTCCCGGCTTATGTGGCCCCGTGCCTGAAGTTACTCCGGCGGTGGCATGTGACTGTGGGAGGAGGTCCGGTCCCTCCCCAGGAGGCTCCTGGGTGAGAGGATTGTGGCATCTGCTTTCCATGCGCCGCTGGCCTTGAGAGATTGCCCGGGCCATGTTATGAGGGAGGGTTTGCGGTTGATAAATCTGGAGCGGATCCCCCTGAAGTTGCGGGACCAGGCCTGGCTCGCCTTCCATGGCAGGCTCTACGTGAGGGGTAAACCTGAAGTACCGTCCTGCGGGATGACCGTGGTTGTCCGAGGTCGGAGTGTGGGGGTGAAGTGGAGACTATGGACCACTTCTTGCTTCAGTGCCCCTTTAACGTAGAGAGGTGTATAACAGGTGGGAGGGGCTCTGGGTGTTCCTTTCCTCCATCGCATGTCGTATGCGGAGTGGGTGTACGGAGCATTCGAGAGTCGCATGGGTTTTAATTTGGACACCCTGTTTTTAGTCAGCTTAGTTGTCCGTTATTACACTTGGATGGCACGGTGTCAGGTCTCCATTCGGCAGAAGGTCCTCCCTGTTCAGGTGGTGGCGAGTGACATCCTTGGTGAGGTGGGGAAAACTGTAAATATTGTATATAGTTTCCGTTTTTTTTTTCCTTTCAGGTTATGGACTTTTATTTATGAGCCGTTCAGGCTATGTTTGAGTTTTGTTTTTGTTTTTTTTTTTTTTTTTTTTTTGTTTTTTTTTTGTTTTTTTTCCCCAGGGACTGTTGGGACATTTTAGTTTCCTTTCTGTTGAGTTTTGTATTTATTTATTTATTTATATTTATACTTTTATGCATAAGTCTGATGGATATGTATGACATCAATACATAATAAAAAAATCTCCATTCCTGACACTTGGGACACCACAGTGTGAATGGATATATATTTTTAAATAAATAGGTGACACTGACCCTAGCCATATGCAAAATTAGTTAACCGAAAAAAGATGAGTAGGGAAAAAAATGTCAATGGCCTCCACCTGTAAAACCATTCCTGTTTGGGGGTCATCTCAATGTTGCTTCTCTAGTGCACCTGCTGTTAATTTCATTAACACCAAAGCAGCTGAAACTGATTAACAACCCCCTCTGCTACTTAACTGACCAGATCAATATCCCAGGAGTTTCATTGGCTTGATGCTATACTCTAATTAAAAAATGTTCCTTTAATTTTTTTTGAGCAGCATTTTGCTGCCCCCGAAGAGGTAGCAATCTAAAAAGAATCAAAAGATGCCAATTTGAATCCTAAAGGATCATTATATGGGTACCATTAAACATACAATTGTTCCATTCAGTATAAAGTCCTCTGTGACTACTAATAATATAAAATAATATGTGCAATAATAAAGAATTATGCAATATCAAATTGCCTGGGGCTTAAACCTCTATATAAATCAATATATAAAAATATATAAGAATTCAGAACTGTGCAATAATAAAGTGATTAGTGCTTAATCCTCTATATCAGGGGTATTGAATTAAAATTCAAGGAGGTCCAGTCACTAAACTTTTCTTCTGGCCGAGGTCCAAATAGGGCATGCCCATCAGCGTGCCCCCTTACATTAGGTGCCACCATCAGAGTGCAACATTACATCATGTAATGCCATCACATCAGGTGTGCTCATCAGAGTGCTCCTTTACATCAGTTGTCCCCATCAGAGTTCCCCTATAGATCAGGTATCCCCATCACAGTTCCACCTTACATCAGGTATTGCCGTCAGAGTGCCCCCTTATGCTCAAAGTACCCATTTCCATCATATTTCCTCATCAGAGTGCCCCTTTACATCATATTCCCCATCAGACTGCCCGTTTCCATCACATGTGCCCATCAGAATGACCCTTTCCACAGTATGTGCCCATTTGTGTCCCTTAACATAACATGTGCACATCAGAGTGCCCCTTAACGTAAAATGGGCCCATCAGAGTGCCCCTTAACATAAAATAAGGGGCATGCTGATGGGCAAATATTATGTTAAGGGGCACTCTGACGGGCACATTTATATCAAGGGGCACTCTGATGGTGTTGTGTCCATCAGTGTGTACCTTAACATTAAATGTGGCCATCAGAGTGCCCCTCTAAGACTACACCCTACCTTGAGGGCAGACAGGAACTGTGCCGGGTTCCTTGCTGAAGGATGATTGTGTACAGGCAGGGAGCGGGAGCCAGAGAGACAGTGAGCTGCAAGGCGTGGGGCGCACATATGAAGTCATGTTGACATGACGACTGATCTGCTCAGCAGTGGATCTATCATTGCGGGCTGGCGGTACAGAAGGGAGCACTGCTAGGGTCATTCTCAGACAGTGGTCCCCTATTTAGTAAACGCTACTCTATATGATCAATGTAAACAACCCCCAACAATAAATCAAGACAGGTCTTCTTTATGGAGAGATGTGGACTCTATAAGACCTCTTCTGTACAATGGAAAGCATTCGATTAAAAGAAAACATTGAATGCTCTCCCGAAAAAAATGGCCTTGTGTACATTCGGCTGGAACCAGAAGTGACGTCATGCTGTCGCTCCTAGGTCATACATATTAACTGAGGCCATCTTTCCTCAGCTAATCTCTGTGAACAGCTGCTGTTGATCAGGCAGGTTTGCGTGACACACAACTCCAACAACTCCCACAGGGGCAAATTTTAAGCCTTTGTCTAACACAGCAAGTTCTTCTGGGCTTAGGGTAGTGTTTACTCAAATTGAACACTCCCTCACCTATTGTTCTCTTTTTCTTTTGTTCTCTCTTTTGTTTTTTGTATCCCCCTGGACATCCTCTCTTCTTTCTATACTGTTTCTCATGTTGGGTCTTGGGCTCCTCTGCATCTGACCTCTCTCTAAAAAATCTCCTTGGTTATAGTTCTTTCTGATGGGATCAAAACGATTAAATGTTGGTATGGGTATGGGTATGGTATGATAGAAGCCTTATACCAACATATAATCAGTTTGATCCCATCAGAAATAACTATAACCAAGGAGATTTTTTAGAGAGAGGTCATATGCAGAGGAGCCCAAGACCCAACATAAGAATCAGTATAGAAAGAAGAGAGGATGTGGAGGGGGGTACAAAAAACAAAAGAGAGAACAAAAGAAAAAGAGAACAATAGGTGAGGGAGTGTTCAATTTGAGTAACACTACCCTAAGCCCAGAAGAACTTGAGGTGTTAGACAAAGGCTTAAAATTTGCCCCTCCTAAACAAGTTGATATGTTCAGTGTATATATAGATACACAAAAGTTTATAAGGAAATTAAACATTAAAAAATATTTTATGAGTCTCCCAGGAGCAAAGAATTGATCTCAAGTGCCCCGGGTAATAACATTAAACATACCTCGTTAGAAATAAATCACTTTTCAACCCACAAATTAATAACAATAATCAAATTTAAGTATTCAAAGAATGGTTAATGCGGATTTAGAAAAACTACATATCCCTAAAAAATCAACGAATTTAGGATTACAAATCGGTCTTAAGAAATTATCTAAATGGGATGATATTGTCATAAGACCAGCAGATAAGGGTGGAGGCATTGTGGTCCTAGCAAAAAACTATTATTTGAATAAACTACAAATTGGCTGATCATATAACATATCAGAAATTGGATAAAGATCCAACTACCAAATATAAGAAAGAATTAGAGAAAATAGTGAAGAAAGGAGTTAAGAATAATATTCTCAATAAAAAAGAAGCCAAATATCTTGTACCAGAAGCCTGTTGAATACCGGTGATATATACTATACCAAAAATTAATAAAGATGCTGTGAATCCACGGGGAAGACCTTTTATTAATGGTATGCAATCCATCTTAGCAAGAACAGGGCAATATACAGATATCCATCTACAACCTTTGGTTAAAATCACCAAGTCCTTTCTTAGAGATATAAAACATCTTATTCAGATATTAGAAGGATTTAAATATGAGAGGAATTTGATTTTGGTATGTGGAGATGTATCATCTCTGTACATGATTATAAATCATGAGGACGCCCTGTCAGCAGTTACCTGGGGATTAAGAGAATTTGGCAACTTGACATAGAAACAACGGAAATATACTGTATTATAGATTTTCTCTTGAATTTTGCCTTACACATAACTATTTTTGGAATGATAATTTTTTTAGGCAATTCAAAGGTGTAGCCATGGGAGCACGTTTCGCTCCCAGCATAGCTAATATATTCATGGCCCAATGGGAGGAAGAGGCTATTTATCAACATCCTCCAACTTAGAATTTTTAAAAGGTATATTGATGATATATTTATGATATGGGAAGGATATGAATTTAAGTTACAGGATTTTCTAAATAAACTGAATAGGAATGACAAAAATATTAATTTTACCTGGAATTTTGATACTAAGTGTATTCAGTTTTTAGATCTGGAAATTCCTGTTAAAGGTTCAGAAATTTATACACACAATGTTTTTAAAGGGGTAGATAGAAATGGATACATCTCCCTAGACAGTTGTCATTTCCCCGCCTGGTTAATGAGTATTCCCAAGGGCCAATTTATTAGATTAAGGAGAAATTACACCTATGATGAGGATTATCAAGCACAGGCAAAAATAATGGAAGATCATTTTATAGCCAAAGGTTATGGTACTCAGAAAATTAAGGAAAATAATAATGAAGTATTGAAAATGGAAAGAATTGAGCTTCTGGAAGACAAGAACATAGACTGTTTTTTAACTGAAGAACCCACTATCATTTTAGATATTAATGTAACTATAAAAATGTTGAACAGGGGGCGTGGCTAGCCGACGACGAGCATGGCCGCTTGAATCCGGAGCTCCCGCCGGCCGGATCGATCCACCACGCCGCACAGAGGAGTCGGGTGAGACAGTGCCCCTTCGCTATGGGGAAACCCGACAGGGTGTCCTCCGGCGCGCGGTCCCCGGTCCCCGAGGGGCCCTAGCACCACTGGGAGGCACATAAAGGAGCTGTTCAGCTCCCAACAGCAGAGAGCAGGGCCGCAGCCTTCTCCCTCTCTCTCTCAGTCCCCCTCTCCCCCTCCCTCTGCAGCCGAGGACACAGGCTGCTCTCACTGCACTGAGACACACGCTGGCCAGGACACAGTGCCACATCATGATATCTCCTCTGCCACACAGTCCCTCTCATTAAGGGACTTACAAGCGGTGGCTGCTGACATTAAGGTCACACTAACCACTACACTGAAAACTGCCCTTAACGACCTGCGCGAGGATATCCGCGCTATGGGGTCCAGAATGGATCAAGTAGAGATGGCCGCTAGACAAAATAAGACTGCCATAGTATATTTACAGCGACAGTCAGAGTCGCACACCTCGACTATCCGGGATTTTTACAAGCATATCGAGGATTTAGACAACCGTGGCCGTAGACACAATATCAGAATCCGTGGCATGCCGGAATCCGTGGAAGCCACTGACATTCCTAAGGCAGTAACTACCATCTTTAATGACCTTTAGGCCGCCCGCCAGCAACCCCAATTGACATTGAGCGTGTACATAGGGCCATCCGGCCTAGGGGGGGTGACGCAGACCCACCCAGGGATGCCATTGTCATATTTACCTTGTTTACATTAGCGACCCTCACGACAATCTAAGCTTACTTACAGGTACCATCACTCCAGTAAAACACTAGCTTCATCCTCAACGGTTGTGCTGCATCTACCCTGCCTCCTTCTGCGGCGCTATAATGAGAATTACATACTAAGAAGGTCCGATGCGATAACATTCCCATGCGCACTACTAGTCTGCCTGAGTATTACAGACTTACCCCGTTGTGGACTGGCACATCCATGCTCCATATGTGGTTCTTTGTAAGAATATTCCTACATTCTCCCGACATGCACTGCCAAATGTTGTATATGACCATCATTTGCTTTTCTTTTGTATTATTATGCACTTTCTCAATAAACGTTTTTTTTGGTAAAAAAAAAAAAAAATGTTGAACAGATTTTTAGAAAGCACTGACTGATTTTAAAAACGGATTCTGTTTTAGATAAAATTTTATCATCACGACCCAAATTTACTTACAGAAAAGCCCCCACACTTAGACATAAAATTGCTAAAAATGTGGTGAATCCACAAAAAAAAAAAAAAAATAAAAAAGTAACATTTTTGGATGTGGTAGGATTTTATCCAT